TAGTGGCAGCAGCAGCCAAAAGCCCCAGCAGAGCCAAAAGCAGAGCCAATCATCTCTGTGTATTATGATCACTAAACTAACAAAGCAATTCAGCTGCTATGCAATGGGTGCTCTTCTACTCCAACATCACCAGTGCCACCACCTCCTTCTCACACCAACAAAGGGGGCACCAACCTCTCGCAGCACCAGCATCTGCCTCAGCACAGCAATCTTCATTCTGCACACATGGGGCTGCAGCATGGACAAGGGGGGGGACAAGCAGGCACCCAGCCCCTTCCAATATTCATATAAACAAATATGTATTTCTGCTCCAGCCTTGGCCCTGGCCCTGGCTACTGCTCCAGCCTTGGCAGCTGATGTCCGTTCTCAGCTCCAGTCATGTGCTCTTCCAGCACCAGTTTCTGTGCTGGCTCCAGACCCAACAGTGGTTGGATCACCATTTACTGTCTCCGCTCAGGGCACTGTTTCAGCCCTAGCTACTCCTCCAGCTCCCAGACGCTGACTCAATCTTTAGCTGCTGTTCTAATGGCCAATAACATATTGGTTTCGTCAGTTAAGTTTGGTATAAGTGAAGCTACAAAGGTGTTGGGGTCCAACTGGCAACTTGAGGGACAATTTAGTCAGGCCCCTGAGAGAGTTTCATCTGTGTGCCGCCTCGTGGGCCCCATGTGCCCCTGTTCTCCATAGTGGTGGTGCACAATGTGAGGCCACGGTCAGTTTCCTTCCCAAGGCAGGTGGGTAGTTGCTTTTGAATTGATTAATCGTAGCATGTGCTTGGTGGATTTTCAACTAGGGATGTAAATACTTAACCAATTAACTGGTTCCACTTAACCATAAGGGCTGGAACTGCTCTCCGCCCACCCAGCAGGGAGCAGCTCCAGCCCCACAGGGTCTTTCAGAGCAGCCTTCCCACCTCCCCCTCCTGCCTGCCACAGGCAGGGACTGTTCCAGCTGGCTCCCCTGAGCAGCCCTTGTCCATGGCGGGCCCAGCCTGCCCCCTGCTGCAGGTTGCCCACTGGCTTCCCAGGAGCAGGGCCAGCATTGATTTTCTGGCTCCGCTCCCGAGGAAACTTTATACTTTAACTATGAGTTTTAGCAGTTACATGCTTATATTTTTAAATGAATTTTTATGTCCCTAATTTTAACCACAGTGCATTAATGGGCGGTGCAGCAGTAATCCAAGAGCAAGGATGTGAATACCTGCAGTGGCTGTAATTAAACAAAATTGGTGCAGAGAATAGAGCATTTCACACTAAGGGTAGGTCTACCCAGCAACATTATTTTGAAATAACGAATGTTATTTTCAAATAACTTAGTCTGCATCTACACAGCAGGCAGTTATTTAGAAATAATGTCAAAATACTGTCAAGCTGGAGGACTTCTTACTCTGACTCCTATAACCCTCATTGTACAAGGAGTAAGGGAAGTCGGAGAAAGAGTGCTTTATTTTGAAATAAGTGCTGTGTAGACAGCACCAAAATTCGAAATAAACTATTTCAATATAAGCTACACAATTGACGTAGCTCAATTTGCGTAACTTATTTCAAGTTAAGCCCTGCTGCGTAGACGCACCCTGAGACTACTTATTCATTGAAAGTGATGGAAATCCACAATCCCTTGTGTGCTTGCAAATGACAGGCCTGGCTGCCATTTCACACTTGTCACTACAAATATTGATGTCAACATTGGGAGTCTAGTGTAAGAAAAACCATGTCCTTAGGTTTCTTGCTACACAGGGAGCTAGTCTTTTATTTTATTGCTTCTTAACCCCATTAGCGCCTTAATGGCTAAATCCTTTTTAATTCTAAAAAAGGATCTGATTTTAGAATCTGTATGGTGGACCACAGAGATGCCTCGAATTTAGCATCTGGCCCACAGCAATGAAAGGGTTGGATAACCCTATAGTGGCTGTGATATTTGCAATATAAAAATAAATGGCACTGAAATCATTACTGCATCAAGAATGCATTAAGATTAGTCTATAGAAACAAAAGAATGCTTTTATTTTAACCCCCCTTTCCCCCACCACACACACAAATTTAGCTTCTTTTTGTCCAACAGAAAACCCAATGTCTTCTAAATAATATGAAGAGATTCTGTTGCCATTCATATAGTCAATGATTTTGAGGGGACAGATGGAGTGATGAGGCTGATATTTTAGGACTAGGATGGTTACTGCCAGAGACCCAGGAAAAATGGAGTGTGATTAAAAGAAATGGAAACCTACCATTTTTATTTAAATGGTTCCATAAAAGTCACAATGAGTTGGCAAGAAACTTGGGTTTTATTGACCTTAATTTCTAGAATAGAAACATTCTTATTAACTTCAAACACTATTCAACATTATTAACAGTTACAGGTCTGCCAGAATACAATGGCAAGAATTTTGCAAGCTAATGACATAATGTTGCTTAGCAGGTGTTGGATACATCACTGGTATATTAGACAAAATAGTTAACTGTGTTAAACTTTACAAAATTTAAGTAGTTACACATACTAGTTATCCTAATAATAGTATTTTTTTAGTTGTCAGGTTATCTTAAATTTCTTTTCAATTTCTGAATCATTAGTTTGACTTCTAGATCCATATTGTTTTGTTCATTTGTTGATTTCCTAAAAGCATATGTTATAGGTCATAATCAGCTAATGAAAATGATCTTGTTCGCTCAAGGTCCTGATTGCCACAAAAAACCCACAGGCACAACCATAAATTATGGATGTCTGGTGTCTGTATGCCGTCAAAAACTTGGCTAGGCTACATAACACCATTTTTTAAGGAAGTATGTTGAATGAAGCAAGTAAGAGGTCAGTAGAAGAATTAAAGTGGGTTATTTAACAAAAGTCAACTCAGAGTTCCTGCCATTTTGTCAGTCTTCTCTTTTTCACTCCAGGTTCTTTCTCTAATCCCCTTCTAGTGTTCTTAAGCACGTATTGTGTCTATGCGTTCCTTCTGTATTGAGTTCGTATCACAGTATGGCTGCAAGAGTTAAGAAGTCATTTATATACATAGGAACAATGTAGCTGTCATACTATTTCAGACCATTTAATCCATTATCCTAATCCCAGCAAGTACCTGATGCTTCAGAGAAAGGGGATCCACCTTTCTCCTCCTCAATTTATGGGAAATATCTCCATCACTCTCTCCTACAAGTGTAATTCAAGATTTTAATTCAAGAGGCTCAGTTCATGAAACGTTAAAGTGTTCTGAGATTCTCTGATTGGATATGTTTTATATCTCACCGTATCTATATCTGAAGCAAGTCCCATTGATGTCAGCAGAACCAGATTTAAGAGTGCCTTAATATAAGTAAAAAAATTGATTTAGTATGTGAACAAAGTGCTGGGATAGCATGGGCTATTGAGAGGATGAGCCGGATTAGCACATTCTCCACGCACTCTGGACACAGCCCTCTGGGCAACCCTGTCCCCTTTTTGGGATATTTTCATTTCTTACTGTCTCCCAACAAATAAGGCAACCGAGTTAAAGCCCTTAAAGTCACTTAAGCTTTTGCTCCCAGCTGACTTTCTGTTCTAGAATCCTGCATAAGAGTAGATTCATCAGAGGTACAACCCCCATTCGGGAATCCAAGTCAATTTCCACATTTAAAGGCTATTGAAAGCAAAAAATATTATTAGCAAATTTTAACATAGGATTATAGGAAAACATTGTTTTATAGTAGTCTTTAAAGGAGAAAGTAAGCCTCTGTCTCAGGAGTCCACAGCACATTCACTGTGAGAAACCCCTTTAATAGCAAAACAGGTGAACACCTGATACTCTAAGATGCATGTCAACAAAGCGGAAGTGTTGCTGAGTTTAACCAACCAACCATTCACAGCTCTACTTGAAGGCTTCCACTCTTGACCAATCTCAATTGAGAGAATCAATTGTTGTTGCCATGTCCTGTCATGTTCCAGAATGCACAGACCCTACTTTTCAAAGCAACCACAGTGACATCATAGACAGTCCCTTTGCTATCTCATCTCTCAGGAGCAGAGAGGTGACCTCTCCCAGACTTCTGCCTTGTTCCTTCCCAGTGACATCTTAATTACAGATGAGGCCTTTCCACTTCTTTAATCACCACTGCTTTTTTCTCTTCTTATTTTGTCTTGCAGAGTTCAATGCTTATCATTTCTCTCAGCTCAAGGACTTCTAGTTTTACTAGTTGCCAATATGTTAGGTGCTAACATTTGCAGAAATCTCTGAGCTGTGGGAACTGTGTCTGCTGCCACTTTGCACAATCCGGTGTCATGGATCTTCCTCTTGCACAGTGCCACCCTCTGGCTCCACAAAGCCCTGCTGAAGGCATGCAGTTACATTTAGAATGCTGATAACTCAAAAAAAAAAAAAGAGCAAAAGAGCAAAAGTCCTGTTAGCCTCAGTTGGCAGCCACTCTGTAGTTAAAAGGACTCAGAGGGTTCCAGAAAGAATGTATGTCTCTGTGCGCTTTCCAAGATTTGTTTTGAAAAGGTGCCAGGGAGAATTCTGCAAAGCGAAGGGGAAGTAGCAAGCATGAGGGTGACATCCTAAGACCTGGCCAGCTACCAATGGGCTTATGCAGTGCCAGAGCAGTAACACTAACATTTTTATTTTTTTGTTAAATCACATTTTCCTTGTTCTTGATAGATGCTTGCTCATTAAAGAGACGCTAAAGAAATACCTTGTCACTGAGACGGAAGCAACTGTTCTGATTTATGCAACGGGCTGACATTCCAGCATAAAGTAAATGAAAAAGCCACATGACATTTGCCATCTTAAAATCGTCCTTTAAGCAGGCTATCCAAACAGATGTTACTACACCCCAATTAACCCGATAAGAACAGGGGCTGCAGTTATGATTCAAAAACACGAAACCCTCCCTCTTGTCCTAAAAAGGAAAACAATAATGAGGGTAGGATTGTACATTTGTCATCATCCTGGTGTCTATTAATGAGCAACCCAAGGGCATGGAGAGAGACCTTTCCATTCTATTAGCAACCATTGGGTATTTAATTAATATTAATTAATACTAAGTAGTATGGAACAGTTTAGGGAGATCTGCTTAGAACAGATTAGAGGTTTCTTGTAGTAAGTGTCCCCCCAACACACTTTACAGTATTTTTCACTCATACGATATTTCAATTTAATGTCTGCCAAAAATACCTCTGAACAAAATTTAATTCATTCATGAAGGAAAGGCTGGGAAGAGATGGTGATCCAAAGGGTAGAGGTTCAATGTTCACAATCCCCTCGGTCCATCTTTAAACTTTGGCAGCTAAAGCTTTTGAGTTATAATCTGAATTTTTCTATTCCAGCAGAGGTGAAGTAATAGTTTGTTGCCTAAATTATATATGGCATCCTTCTCAGTCTCAGTTGTTAACAGATTTAACATCTTGATCGCCACTGTTTTACAGAGCTGTGTTTTACTAAGTGCGGTCCAACACAGGGATTTATGCTACTTCCATTTTGTTTCCGGGATCCAGGCAGATGTTCTGTACCAATGAACCAAATAGAATGGTCAGTTCTAAATTTGGTGCAGTTATTGATGACTGAAATAAGGGGCATGACAGGAAGGAGAATGGAACAATGAGCAAACAGAACATTCAAATGTAAAAGATGTAGCCTCCAGCAACTCTAATAGAGATAGAAAACCAACGGGGCCCAACAAGGGAAGGAAGATGATAAAAATAAGTTATAAACAGAAGGGCAGGGGGAGAGAGAGATATATTAAAAGTCCTTCAGACTATGGTAAATTCCTGTCTAGAGATGTGCAGATATCTTTAGAAAGACACAATCAAGAAAAGCCAGCAGATCAGAGGAATGACAAGACCTACTTGAGAAGCCAAGCATTCAGACATACTAATGAAGTTACGCATTTCCTTGGTAAGACGTCACTTGCTGTGTATCCTGTTCCATCTTGGTCAATTAACTGTCAGAAAAACAAATGCCTCTTTGTACTTGAAAAATGAGAGAAAGGCAACAGGGCAAAAACATGTCTGTTCTGAGGACAAACGTTAAATCATCTAGTGCGGAAAAATTAGAGGATTATGAAGCTGTTTTACTGAAGCATGTTCCCAGTCAATGTTAAAACTTCCTGGTTTAACACTCACTGGGAGAGGATTACTTGCCTTAGCTCCCACATACATTAAACCCCATCAAAGTCCTTATAATCTCAAGACTTAAATTATTGCTTTCCTTCCAAGAATGGCTTAATTAGGAGAGCAGAGTGTTTCTAGGTAGAAAATAGATCCTAATATTAACATAAGGATCTATTTTCAAACAAGTAGAGGAAAATAAACTCAAGGGGATATAAATGGATATTCTATAAAGATATCAGCCTGCATTTTCTTATGCATAGCATCACACTGAGGGTTTGTCCACTCCAGAAAGGCTTTGCTGGCATAGCTATACCAGAGCCCCCTAGCATAAACACAGCCATCAGCACAAGTTCTTTTGGCAGTACAGGAGGCCCCCAACTTGCAACGTGATTGGTTCCAGGGGAAGCGTCACAAGTTGTGGGCATCATAATTTGAACCCGCATTTACAGTTGGCATCGTGTGCCGTTGTAAATGCGGGCCAAAGATGGAAGTCGGGGGTTTCCAGCTCCTTCCACACTTACAAAAATTGTTGTAAGTGTGGGTGGTCAGAACTCGGGTGGTCGCATCTCAGGGGCCTCCTGTATAGTTAATTCATGTCCTGAACAACATAATCTATGCTGATAAAAGGACTCTTTTACCAGTATAGCTGCATTTACACTTGGGCTTTTGCCAGCACAGCTATGCTGATCAGGGGTGTGATTTCTTTTTTCCGTTCTCTTAACTACCTTAGCTATGTCGGCAAAATTTTGAATATAAACCAGGCCTGAGTGCCACACGATGGAAGGGTGCTGTTGCAACAATCATGGGCAAGACATAGCCAAAGTCATAGCTCCCCTTAGCTGGAAACTATGAACTGCAGCCAATGGGAGCTGCAAGGCTCCATGGCTACGGGCGCATTTTTAATATAAACAAAGTGGCACAGGCCCGCCAGTGGCTTACCTGGGTGGGTCTGTGACACACTTTGAGAAACGCTGGCCTATGGTGAGACCATTCTAGCAAGAGGACCCTCTATAAGAACATTTATGTGTGTAAGACATAAGATCATTCTGTGGCAAATTGGCTTAGGTGCATAAAGATGGTGATTAACATGAAAAATGGAGAATGGGCCATGATCAGTTTTTGTAGTGTGACATGTTCTTGTATGAATTCCTCTTCATGTCTTGGGAATGTAAAATGTATTATTGTTCCAAAACTAGAATGGTCCCTTTTAGCAGGGTTCTGTGGAGTGAAGAGCACATTACAGAAGTCGATCCCCCTCCTGCTTTCTACTCTTTAAGATACTGTATTATCAGAAGGCAGTTCTTTTTCTATCCATCTGCAATGCTACTCATTTTTTACTGCACTGCTCAAGGTGCTCTAGAGTCTTCAGCAACCTTGAAAATCCTATTTCCAAACTCAAAATGTGGTTTCTTCTCTGATCCTTCTTACATCCGCTCTTTAAAATGAAAGGATTCCATTCATAACTACCCTTTCTTTCCTCCTCTTTTGCCAGTTTTCAGTCCAATATGCCCATTGTCCTACAATTCCATGACTTCAGACCTTAGACATTTTAACCATCAGTGGAGAATTTTGTCAAGTACTTTCTGAAAAACCAAGGCTATAATATCCTTCCCTCCTTGCTTATCAACCATAGCAGTAATTTCCTCAAAGAATTCCAACAAATTAGTTAGGTAAGATCTGCTATTCCTGAATTGATGTTAGCTGTCTTTAATCAAGCTCTGCTTTTCCAAGTGTTCCCTATTTGATCCCTTAAAATAGTTACAGAGTTTTTCTGCATAAAGGAAGTCAAACTGACAAGTCTATTTTTTTTTCTTGTGTGTACAAAAAGCAATCTTCTTTCCTACACTGAGAGAATGCTGAAAAAGGAAACCTTGGTTTCCATACTCTCCTTCTTGTAGATCCCCAGTCTGAGATTTGTTTTTAAACACATTTTTTGAAGGAAAGTAAGAGAGGAATAAAGGAGGGGAGAAATCATTACAGAATACAGGAAAGGTGCTTCTCCAATTTGATTGGTTCCAAACTTTCCAAATATCCAAAGTCAGAGCTGACATTTAACATGTATATTTAAATATTTTAATCTTATATTCCCTTTTTCCTGCCACTGTCATGAAACTCCTATAGTAAGTATACATTAAAACATCATAATTTCCAGAATCAAAGGGTTAAGATGTGAATATCAGTCCCTTTATTATAAAACAATTGTGTTAAAGTTATATGATTTGCCTTTTATGCTCTACTAGAAGATTAACCTGGTGTTGCTTAGCTCCTTAATTAATTGTTTTAAATAAAATGAAAATGTGCATGCTTCCTTTAAATCATTGCTCTGGGGTTGGGGGCTGGAGATGAGGGCTTCATGATGCAGGCTGGCTCAGGGAGAGAGGATTACCCCAGTCCTCTCTCATTGTAGTGGCTTGGGGCCAGGTGGGAAGCACATTTCCATAGCTACTGCAGCTCCAGCAGGCACAGCTGGGGGAGAGTTGCCTGTCTCCCAGCTGGGGCAGGTCCCTCTGCACTCCCCAGCCAGAGTGAGGAATGCAGAAACTGTGCACTCTCCCCTCACTCCCTGATGAAGGGGAACAGCCAGCAATGTTCCTGTATGAATTGGGGGGCAGAGCAGGAGGGTCAGCTCCCCCACACCCTTCCTAAAGTGCACCTGGGGAGTGGAAGGCTCAGGTCTAGAGCAGTCCCAGAGGTGAGGCACCTCTAGCTAATCCCTTTTACCTACTGGCGATTTTATCTATTTTCTATATAGTTTTCTGAGAAGCAATCCCATTCCAGGCACATCCCAGTGTCCTGGCACAACCAAACCCTGACCTTGCTTTAAGTTATGATAAGAGGAAGCTGCATTC